GTAAGTCGAATGATTAWAAATAAATATATTAATTAAATAAATGATTATTTCTTGGGATATGCTTTTTTGTAACCCCCCATTAATTGTTTGGGGGTTACATAGATAACCAAATGACTAAACTACCCTTGGAAGTAAATATTGGACAATACATCAACCTACAACAATGAAGGAATTTGATTGGTTGAGATAGGTGAACAAAGTTAACACAAAATGAATGGTTATCATTTGATCTTGGCCCTATATATATATATAGTGGGTAAGAAAACGAGTAATTACCGATCTCATAAAATCTTATCCACATCTATATTCTACCCATGAAAATAGCGGATAACAAAAACGGGTAATGGATAAATGGTAAAAAAAAGTTCATTCTAATCTACAAATTGTAAAATCTCAAACATATAAGTTAACAAACATAGTAGTTTTTATATGTAACTAAAAAGATATTCGTGCAATGCAGCGAGATACATCTCGATTTTAATGTTTCGTTTTATTCTGTCCCCTTGTCGATGTTATAATACGGTTTTATGTGATTTTGAGAAAAACGATAATGTTTTTATTTTTGAATAAAATATAAATTTGAAGATATTTAAAATTAAAAAAAAAACATATCGATATTAGTATCAAATTAATTATTTAAAAAATCTTGTTTAGTTGTGTAATTTCTTTAATTAAATTTTTTTATTATAATTTAATTTAGGTTCAATAAGAAAGTAATTCAATTTTGATTTAATAATATAAATTTTATACAGGTAATAATTAAGTATTCTGTTAGAAGATTATAATTATCCTAATTATATTTTAGATTTTTTATATTTAAAATGAAATATTTATCCACTATTTGATTATGTTTATCTGTAGTTAGTTACACAACTTCAAGTTTAAACTTTTAATAAGTTGTACTTATGCATTATTTACTTTTAATCTTGAATTTTAACTAATATAAATCAATAAATAGTACTTAATGTATAATAAATGGTTTTTAAGAATTTTTGTCAAATACTTTATAATATAGTATATAAATTTGTTTTAGTAAACAATTGTAATATTAATCTAAACATAATATTTTAAAACAACAATATAAAAGTTGAAAGACAACACTTTTGGTTGTATTTATTTTCTTGATCCATCTTGTTTTTCATTTAATTAGCATATGACCTTTTTTATTCCATAAAGAAAAATACTGATATTTAATTTCATATATATATATATATATATATATATATATATATATATACTATCCACTAAAATGTCAGGTAAAAGGGTAATAAAAAGTTCGTTGGATTTATGTTTTAACAAGTTCAAAGACTAATTTGTTCACTTTTAAAAAAGACTAAGGGGACGTTTGGTTCGTAGAATGGAATTCAATGGAATTGGAATTCATCAAATGAATTTGACTTTGAGGGAATGGAATGGAATTTGACCATATCTTTTGATTGCATTTGGTTGGATGGAATTGGAATGAAATTCTTAATCGAATTGGAATTTTTTTTGTTTCGTTCACAGAATTCAACGAGAAAATTACAGGCAAAAAAAACTGAAACCGAAACTTTCGGCTGGTTTGGGGGACATCTTATTGGGGACGGGGCGGGGATCGGGGTCAAATTCGGGGATTTTAACGGGGACGGTGCGCCCCGGCTCGGCTTGATATGTGTATATATATGTATTAATTTTAATTTATATACATACATATATATATATATATATAATATATTAAATTCGAAGATTTTAACGGGGATTTTTAGATCTGTTTCTGGTATCAGTTTCGGGTTCGGTTACAACCAACGGTGAACGGAAAAAGAGGATTTTTACCTTCACGAATTCCCCAACGGGGATCGAGGAAACCGTGGTCAAGATCCCCGACGGGGATCAGGGCGGTCATGGGGACGGTTTTAGTTATCGGTTTCTGGGACGGGGATACCAATAACCGGCCCGAACATGGCCCGTTGTCATTCTTAGTTTTAAACGAGATCGAACAAAGGAGATCGAGCATAGCAAAACCGAGCAAATCGAGATACAGCGTCAATGAATGGATGAGGGCTAAGGAATTTGTCGGATTGGAATTTGAAATCCCTGGTATATGAGGTGGATTTGTGAAATCAATGAATTAAGAAATTGGATGGAATTGGAAGGATTCCTTCACATCTATTATGTGAACCAAACATGAGATTTGGAATTTGGTCAAAGATTTGGACATTCCAATTTCTTCCAATTCCACCAAATTCCATAAACCAAACACCCCATAAGGATCTCTGTTCAAAAAATAGTTTAAAAACTTAAGTACTCAAAATATTATATTTACTTTGTTGGACTTTTTGAACTTTTCATTAAAAAATACTGATAGTTTGATCGTTAATGAATATTGCTATAAAATTCTATTTATTGAATCATTGATACATATATCAACGAATATTAGAAAAGGAAAAACATATTAACGATTTATTGTTTGCAATCAAATTCGGTTGACGAGATTTGGAAAAGAAGAAAATGACGATTAATATAACATTTTTTAGGAAAAAATTCAACGAACTATCCGATTTTGAATTATTAAGTCCATACGCTTTTTTCTAATAAATAAATCATTGAACTTTCTTATTTAAATGATTAAATTTTTCTAAACATTTTTTTAATAAATAAACTATCAAACTTTTAAAATTTGGTTACTTACATTATTTTAACTCCTGAAAACCACCAGTAACCACCTACGAAGGTTTTAAAATAAAAAAAAAACTTAAATCGGTTTTACCATTCCTAAACTCCACGACATTCAAACCCCTCACACCCAATTTGCATCACTCCTCCTCTCCACCCTCGTCGTCCCATCATCGTACGTAATTCATATCTTCCATCGACGCTGTTAGCCCCTATCACTTATCTCCTTTTTTATCTGTTTTTTTTTTGTCTTTCGCTTCTCTTTCTTTTACAACAATTTAATGAAGTACGTGTAGACATCAAAAAAAAAAAATGAGAAATAAAAAAAAAAAAAAATCAAAAAGAGAGATGTCGACGATAGAGGCCAACAACGATGATGGGTATTGATAGAAAACAGGTGACTATAGGTGGCGAACTAGGAAAGCAATGGCATTGGATGCAACGTGTTTGAATGAAATAGAATTTAAGAACAATAAAATTGATTCAAGTTTTTTTTTTTACTTAAAAATCTCATAGCCGGTTACAGATAGTTTTTTGGGGTTAAAATTGTAAGTAATCAATTTCTAAAAGTTTCATGATTTATTTATTCAAAATAAAGGTTCATTAACCGAATAATCCAAAATAGGTAAAAAAAAAATTAACTTTTCCTATGTATTTATTTGGGAAAATTGCATCAAAATAGAACCAACTTTCACCTGATTCTTATTTTGGGGAATCAACTTTCAAAATCGTCATTTTAGGGAATCAACTTTCACCTGATTCCTATTTTGGGGAACCAATTTTTAAAATCGTCATTTTAGGGAACCAACTTTCACCTGATTTCTATTTTGGGGAACCAACTTTCAAAATCGTTATTTTAGGGAATCAACCTACACCTGATTCATATTTTGAGGAACCAACTTGCAAAATAATTATAGAAAAATAACTAAATTTTGTTTTTTTTTTCAAAAATTAATGCAATAAAATCTATTTTTCATTTCAAATCTCGTTTTTTTTTTAAATTCAGATATCAAATTGAAGATTTTTTCGAAAAAAATCCAAATTACTACGATAAAAATTGTTTTTTACTAATGCAATAAAAAATAAATATTAAATATCACATTCAAGATTTTTATATCTAACCAATCTATGTCAATATTAAAGTTTAAATCAAATTTGACAAATCCAACCAAAAGTTTGATAGAGACCCTTAAATTACCTGTTACATGTTCAACAGATCAACCAGACCCTTAAATAAACAAAAAGTTTGATAGAGACCCCTAAATGACGATTTTAAAAGTTGGTTCCACAAAATATGAATTATGTGAAAGTTGGTTCCATTTTGATGTAATTTTCCCATTTTTCTATAATTATTTTACAAGTTGGTTCCCCAAAATAGGAATCAGGTGCAAGTTGATTAACCAAAATGACGATTTTAAAAGTTGGTTCCCTAAAATAATAATTTTAAAAATTAATTACTCAAAATAGAAATTAAGTGAAAGTTAGTTCCATTTTAATGCAATTTTTTCTATTTATTTTTACATTGCTGTTAAAAACACACTTGAAACTCGAGAAGATGAAACGGTAGGTCATTAGAGTTGATGGTTGGGCAGGGAATGTGTTGTACCAACACATGGGGGGGACTTAATTGGGTGATGAAGATAATAATATATATATTTTTTATTAAAAATAAGAATAAAGAGTAAAATGACTTCTAGTTAACTAACTTAAAAAATGTTTTGAAGGAAGTTAGGGTAGAGGGACCAAAGATGAAAAAAATTATAAATTATAAGGACGTTTTCTATAATTATTTTAATTTAGGAATGCACAATATAATTTTATATAAACCATTTAGACGGAATTTATAATTGACTTATATATATATTGAATCAGTATCAATTTAAATTTTTTT